CACGCCGCTGCTCCACCAACCGGGGCAGGAAGTACAGGAGGCGACTGACGAACTCGGGCGTCGCCACCACCAGCAGGCGCAGTGGAGTCACCAGTCACTGCACGAGGCGCCTCTCCAGGCCCTGAACCTCCACCGCCGCCAGGCGCAACGCCACCTCCACTACCTCCGCCTCCACCTCCACTACCACCACCAGAACCGCCTTTCTTGCCACTCCTACCGCGGGACCGCGACGCAGTCGTAACAGCAGCTGCAGTCGCGTCAGTAGCGGCAGTGGCAAGTGAGGCAGTAAAGGTGGGTAACTGCGGGACTGTGCACCCGTGGAAGAGTGGGGGGGGCACAGCACCAGAGGCGGCAGCTACCGAGCGAAGGTTGCTCTCGACGTCCTTGAGTGCAGACTCAAGGACATCGACGGTGAGCTCACTAGGGTGCTTCAGCAGAAGCGCGTCGCGAACGGAGGCAAGGCGGTCAGGGAGGCTAGTGGCGATGAAATAGATAGTAATCGCCATAGGGGGAGGAAGCAGTGCAAGCTGTGCCTCAGTGCAAGCAGCGCGGTAACTAGCGTCGAGCGAGCGGAGGTGAGCGATCAAGTCAGCAGAGCGCTCAAAAGACGCTAGGTCAGGAAACAGGAACGGGAGGAACAGGCGGCCAAGAGAGACAGCAGCGGGAGAAGAGTAGCGGGCCTTAATCGCAGTGAGGTACTCAGCAGCGGTGCGAACCTGAGTGAAGTGAACCTCCTCAGACTCAGGGAGGAGGCTGCTGAGCGCGATGCAGGCCGCAGCGTCACGTGACGTCCAAGCCGTCTGGTCAGCTCGCTGAGTGGCAAAGCGGGCTCTAGCGGCGTCGTCAGGGGCAGGTCCTAAAGGCGTAGGGTCGGGGGGCGCAGGTAGGGCACCAGTAGCGTGCGCCCAGAGGGTCTCGCCTGCCTGGACCTGACTCTCTAACAGACGGCGAGCACGAAGAAGCCAGACGGAAAAATCAAGAGGTCTACCGTCAGCGTCGAAACGAAGCACACGCGGAGTCGCCATAGCGAGAACTAACGCTAGGGATACAGTGGCAGCGGAAGAGCAGGCTAGGGTTAAGACGACGGGCTGGGGAAAGGGGCGAGCCGCTACAGGGGAAAGGGCGGGCCGCTACAGGGGAAAGGGCGGGCCGCTACAGGGGAAAGGGCGGGCCGCTACAGGAGGGGAAGGGGCGGGCCGTGACGGAGGGAAAGGACGGGCGGGACGCGACGGGGGGAAAGGGACCCAACGGGGGAAAGGATGGGCGGGACGCGACGGGGGGGAAGGGGCACGACGAGGGGAAAGGACGGGCGGGACGCGACGGGGGGAAAGGGACGCGACGAGGGGGAAAGGGCGGGGAGGACGCGACGGGGGGAAAGGGACGCGACGAGGGGGAAAGGGCGGGCAGGACGCGACGGGGGGAAAGGGACGCGACGAGGGGGAAAGGGCGGGCAGGACGCGACGGGGGGAAAAGGCGCGACGCGACGGGAGGAATGGGCGGCGACGCGACGGGGGGAACGGGCGCGACACGACGTGGGGGGGGAACGCGACGCGACGGGGGGTAAGGGCGGGCGCTACGGAACGAGGGGAACGGGTGGCGCGGACGGGCGCTAGGATTGGCGCTAGGCTCGGCACTACGCGCGGTAACAACGGAACCGGGACGAATGAGAGCTAGGATCAGGCTCGGGAGGCTCGAACGGAGAACGGAGGAACGGGATCCCACAGGATCCTAACCTAACTGATACCATGTCAGAATGAAGAATGGATGATGCATTGATGTTGGTTGGGGTACATATAGCTAACCCTAAGTTTTGTACCCCCTAAGACAAACCTCACTATAGGCTACAACATTTGAGAGCATCCTATATAGCACCCGAGGGGGGGGGGTGTTATGTACGGGTATAATTGCAGTTTTTGCCTAAGTAGCACAGGGTTTCCAATGATAATCCATCTACAAGTTAACATTAGCAGAAACAAGCTACATATGACGCAATACAGCGCTAACACTCCCATCACACAGTCTTTCCTACATTCAACAGGGGCCTACTACCATCTAGACAGAATGCTAACTACCATCTAGCCGCTGCACAGAAAGATCAACTCCTTCACAGTTCAATGACGTGCCCGCCCAGCGAGGCAACCGAGGCTGTTGCGGGGACTCCGCCATTGTCACCTGCATGAATCCTCGTCGTGCGACGAGGGGGTGTGATTTCGTCCAATCAGGGCCTGACAGTGGGCCTTGTTGGAGCTTGCAATGTGGCAGCTAACCCTCACGCAAAACGTTATCGCCCAGTCCTCGGTTTTGCGCACCCAACCAGCAATCTACCACCACGGCACAGATGTACATTTAGTACTAAACGTTTTACGCTATAAAAAAAATATACATTATGTAAAGACCCGGGTGCAATGTAGCTTTTTCCGATGACAAGACCCCCCCTTTTTTTTGTGTAGTTATCAAAGCACCGTAGGGTGGTATATCTGGGGGAATACGGTATGTGTGACAGAAACCCCTGACGGAAAAAGGGACTCGAAAGATTTTACGGAGAGCTACTCCGTTTTCGTTTCCGTCTGCCTTGATGGCCTGCGTTCCGGAAATTTGGGCGCGAAACAGTAGCCTAGCAGATTTCGGAACAGTGTGGCAGCCGAGCCACCCAGATTGTGGATTCGATTTTGTAGAAGGGACAAAAATATGTTGCGCACAGTTGGTCAGATGTCCAGTACAGTAGGTGGCATGGAAATTGTTGACACGTGGGTGAATGTGGGGAAGTGCCCTGTCTTGTTTCTACAACTTCTCTGTCTGAGGCACGGAGGGGTGGAAAGTGCCCTCTACTTGCACTGTAGTCCCCCTCAAAGCGCAGGGTCGCTAGTCTAAGCCCTGCCAAAGCTACTTACCCAAAATCGGGTGAATGCTGAGAGGAGGAAGAGGTGTGGAAGCAGTTGTTCCAACTTGCCTCCACCCCAGGGCTGTCGCTTGCAGGGCGTTTGCCCTGCTGGACCTTGAATTCCAGGGCTGGGCTGCCCTTGCAAACTGAAATTGATGTGTTGGATTTTTTTTTGCCCTGATTCCTTACGGGCCTGATTTTGGGCTTGGGCCTGGAGTGTAAAGGGGTGATTTTAGGATTGCCCTGGAACAGAATCTTACGAGTCCCCCCCTTCCACCCCTCCTCCCCATCCAAATCCCCCTTCCCACCCGTTTCTGTCATGATTGCGTCCAACCTGGAAAATCTGGATTTCCACAAATTCAACTCAACTCAACCTACAACTTCTCCAATCACAACTTTGCTCACTTGCCACGACACAAAGACTACAGGGCCTACAGGCATAGCAGCAGAAAAACACACCTCAAATCCCCCCGTCGTGCACTGCACCAGCAAGCAAGCATGAATCGGCTCGGCACGGCATAGCAACAACAAAACACATCTCGAATCCCCGTCGTGCACTGCACCAACAAGCATGAACCGGCATACCCGCAGCAAAACACATCTCATATTCCCGTCGTGAAGTGCGCCTCCTATTGCTCGACGGTACGACTAGACTAGGTCGAGAGAGCGACTCGCTCGGAACGTGCCATGCCAGCCTTCCCTCCGTCACCTTTCTCCTCCAATCTCTACTCCAATCAACCATCCATCCCTGCCTGCTCTCACACTACACATTGCCTATTTTAGAGTGCATGTTCCACACTTGCTCATCGTGGCAGGCAGCCCTCCCAGAAAATGGAGGTTTCTAGCGATGACGACGTTGAGACACGTACAGCATCAACCGTCCCAGTACCCCGAGTTTACAATACCCCGGCCCACTCTGAAAGGCCTGACGCCTTAGCTTCTGATAGTCAGAACGAGGGCATTGGTGCTGGCAATGACGAGAACCTCCACGAGGTCGAAGTCCAGCAAGTCAATCGTGTGTCTCGCCGTGCAAGTGAAGCTTCTTCCACTCCAGACCAGCGCATGCGTCAGACGCGACTGACGTGGTCGGGACCACACCTTCCTCCTCGTAAGCGCTCTAGGAAGGTATCGACGGTTGAGGACAAGCCTGCTCCAGCGGTGGACAATGCCGCTGAACGCCAGGACATCCCTGCGTCGGAGAAAAAACTGGTCGGAAAGTGGAATCCCGGGTGGAAACGGACGTTCAAGTGGCTGGTGCTCGAGTACGACGACGAGCAGCAGATGTACGGTATGAAGTGTACCATCTGCAAAGCCCATGCCAAGAACAGTAAGTCTCCGTTTGGACCTCTTGGCATAGGAGCGCGTGATTTTCAGGTGGGGTGTTGCAGAGGTCATGAATTCTCGAGGCTACACCTTGCTGCTGTGACAGCCGAGCGGATTGCTGAGGGCACCGAGAGGCAACAGCGCAGTATCTTGGAACTCCTGAGCGCTGAGCCCCTGACCCGCAGGGTGGTGAAATGTCTTCAGGCAGCTTACTGGTGTTCTCGAAATGATGCACCAATCATGCTCTACACGCTTCTTGTTAAGTTCATGGCTCAGCAGGGCTGCCCAGACATGACTAATGAAGAGGCATACGGGCGCTACTACTCAAGGTAATGCGCTGATGTTTCTGCTTGTTCCCATTATAAGATCTAACAATCAGCCTTTGCACCTTTGCAGATACGCCTTCGGCGAGTTCGTATCGGCGCTCGCAAGCTACCTCCAAGAGCGCCAGCTGGAAGATGTCAAAGCCTCGCCATGGTTCGGGCTCTCATTCGATGAGAGCACGGACCGCGCCCATGGCAAGCACATGATCATGTACGTGCACTTCGAGCGCAACGAGCAGTCGGAGGTGCAGTTTTTTGGAAACATCCCAGTCGACAAAGCCGATGGCGCCTCGCTGTACGCTTCTGTCATGGCGCATCTTGACAGCAAAGGCTTGTCCTTGGACAAGTTTGTGGGTGTGTCCACGGACGGTGCCAAGGTTATGACAGGAATGAAGAAGGGAGTTGTGGGCCATTTAAGGCAGCGCTGCCCATGGCTTGTTGCTGTGCACTGCGTGGCACACCGGTGAGCATGAATGCTTGTTCTGTATGATCCTTGCCGAGCCTTCATCTCTGGTTGTTTTTTTTTAACTCGTGTTTCACTGGTAACCGTGTCACAGGGAGGCGTTGGCAGCAAAGGATGCTGCCAAGAAGTTCCCTGATTTCAACATCATTGACTCACAGATTCGCAAGACTGCAGAGCACATCGGCCGCTCCAGCATCTCCAGAGATGCCTTCATGGACCTGCAGGATGTAATCATGAAAACCCAACTGGAAGTCCAAGGCATTTTCAACGTGCACTGGCTTTCACGAGGGGATGCAGTGGCGCGGTTCTGTGAAGTGCTGCCAATCCTCCTCTGGGTTTGGCACAAAGAAGACCAGGCCGCGTATAAGATCGGCACAAGTTTCAAGTTTCAGTTTATGCTATTTTTCCTCGCCGACGTGCTGGAAATGCTCAACACCCTCAACATGGCGTTTCAGAGGCTGGTGGTAAGTTTGCATCGTGGACAATGTTTATAGATTGTTCTAAACGCTCTTTACTAACTTTCCTTCCTTGGCTCATGAGTAGGTGGACATTGGCGAGGTGAAGCTTCTTGTCGATAAACTGAAGCTGAAGCTGGCACAACGTTACGTGGAGAACCGCACAGACTATGGGACCCCGAAGAGCAAGCACCTCCACGCTTTTCTTCAGAAGCACGGCAGCCCTGACAAGCGCGAGATCACCATCCGCGGCATCGACAAGCAAGGGAACGCGTACACTGTCAGCGACGTTCTGCATGAAGACCCCATCGGAGCAGGCACGGGGGGGACGGACCTGGAGTCGTGCATCAAGCTGGGGCAGCAGTTTGCGCAGGAGTTGATTACCAAGCTGGACTACCGGCTTGGCGACCTGAAGCATTTTGACGGGGCAAAACTCTTCATGCCAATGCACTACCCGCCACGGCTTGCCGACCGTGAAGGATGGCTCAACGCCCACCTGCACGAACTCCTTGACATGTTCAAGGAGAAGCTGCCCGGTACGTAAGAATGCAAATGATCGAGCCTGTATCTTATTAACACCCAGCATTGTTACTTTCATAGGTGCTTCATTGTTTCACACATATTCTTCTCCTACGCCCACCCCACCACCCGCAGGTGTCACGTACGAGGCGTGTCAGCTGGAGATGGAGCTCTTCGCTGCAACAATGTTAAAGAAATTCAAGGACATGACTTTCCAGCAAGCCCTCACTAACGTGCTATGCACCTCAGACTGGAGGGATGATTACCCCTCCCTCGTGCACTTGTGGCGTGCACTTGCTGTCCTGCCCCTTAGCACTGTAGAGTGTGAGAGGGGTTTCAGTAGGCAGAACATAATAAAATCATGGGATAGGACTGCACTTAGTGATGTTAAGCTAGATCAGCTCATGACCGTGAAGATGCTAGACTATCCCGTGGAGTGGGTAGAAGTGCACAAGATCTTCAGTTCTGCCAGGGCTAGGAAGCCTGCTAAGCATGCGTAGAGAAATGACGTTGCAGGCATTGTTTTTATGTAGTGTTAGCTTCTTGTTTTTATGTAGTGGTAGCTTGTTGTTGTTAGCTTGTGTTAACTAGTTGCTTTACGTAGTGTTAGCTTGTTGTAGTTTGTAGCTGTAGGCATTGTAGTTAGAATGAGGCAGCAGAATCTGACGCGCCAAACCTGATTCAAAGGTTGGAAATATTTCCAGTCCTGAAGCCTAAAGGGCCAACATTCGCCCCGGGCCTGCTAGATACAGGTTCGGACATGGCAGGCCCCCTGATTTGTCCGGGGGCCCCAAAACGAATCGGCAGCCCTGCTCCACACGCTTGGAGGAGGTCTTTCTGGTCGAATGGTTGAGCATGTACTGCGCATGCATAACCGCCCTTCACCAGTTTTGGAAGAAAGCAGCAGTTGATGGAACCACTTCTCGTCCCTTCACGCCAGGGCGGTGTTCGCCAGCATGCCGAAATTTGAAATGAAAGGCGGTGTTCGCCAGCACATTTCCAAGCAAAAAAGATGGGATGACGACGGGATAAGGAAGGTACTCGCCTTCCTGATCCCGTCAGTTAGGGTTCGTTCACCTTCGTCAGCCGGGTCAGTCCGTAAAACTGCTGCCGAAACTCTTATGCCGTCCGAACCTCTTAGAAACGTGAGGGCGTGGCGAACGCCCCCAATTTTCATCCACTTTGAAGTGCATGACCGCATATGGAAACGGGGTCGCAGCTTCCTCCCCTGGCAAAAACAATCCCCCGACGATGCCATCGCCATCCACCTCTCCACGGTGAATGGCGATGGCATGGGGAACCATTGACAGCCCCAAATGTTTGACAAATGGGGGTTAGTTTACCCCCAACTTTCCAATCCCGAACACACCTTCGAGCTACTCAAGCAACGGTAGTATCAATTGCGATCCTTTCCCCAGTCACAAACCTGGTCTGAGTTGGTTTCCTTTTTTTTTTTTTTTTGCTTGTTACCCTGGTTCGTTTTTGGCCTTCGGTCTGGCAATGGTCAGTGGCGCAAAAATTTCACGCCACTAGATCAGGAAGGTGGGGCTGGGGGTTCCATATGCGGTTGCGAAATTCCCGTTTTGGGAGTTGAAGTTTCGCGGACCGCATAACGCCCAGACCTCTTGGAGGGGTTTCGACCCCGGTTCAGGATGCGGTCATCATGCCGATGCCGCCAGAATGCCGTCCGTTTTCAAAGTTCCTGGCGAACACCGCCAAAATGATGGCATCGGCATCGCGACCGCATCAGGAAACGGCCGCGGAACCCACCTCGGAGGTCTGGGCGTAATGCCAAAAGAAAAACTTCTGATCCCGAAACTGGAAATCACGCAACCGCATCGGGAACCTCCATCCCCACTTTCAAGAGGTTCCCTCGGAACGGCAACGCAATCGCTGCGCCATCGCTGACCTTTGGAAAAGGGGGGATGGCGATGGCATAGCTTGGGGAGGGAATTTTGCATGGGGACGAAGTTTCGTCCCCGCTTCCATATGCCGTCGAGCAGTTCGAATTGGTCGAGAAATGGGGGCGTTCGCCAGGCCCCCACTTTGGTTTTTGGTTTGGACGATAGGAGAGGCTCGGCAGCATTTTTACCGGCTGACCAGGCTGACGGAGCTTAACGAACCCTAACTGATGGGATCAGGAAGGCAAGACTGACCTTCCTGATCCCGTCGGTATCCCGTCGTTTTTGGCTTCAAAGGTGCTGGCGAACACTACCCAGTTGAACATCAACAAGACCCTGCCTGCAGGCCAGATTTTGACTTTGAAAGTTTATTCCGGTACACAAAGGTCTAAAGCGGTGAAACTACAGAACCGCTCTGAACCGCGTCTAGCCAAACCTGAACAAAAGGAGAACCCTGGTGGGGGGACAAAACAAATCCCTTGCAAAGGAGAGGCCCGATGTGGGGACCATCTTGCGTGGCAGAAGCACCCTGGGCTCAAGTCTCGAGGCGCACCGATGAACCACTGAGCGTGGGGACCAACCCAAACCCAAGAATGTCAGCAGAGCGAGCGACGAAACCGAAGCCCAATCACGCACACGGCTTGCCTCGTTATTCGCTCGAGCGCGCCCCCCTCGAGGGTTTGCTGACCCACACGCGGCACGCCGCGCCCTCGGTGTCACCTTTCCGCCGGTCGCTCGGCCATCGATTCCGTTGCTCGACAAATTGTAGCTGCGCGCCGCGTCGTGACGCAGCCCCAAGGCGACCCTCGCCGGCGGGTGCTGAGACAAACCCATCACATGGCATCATGGGACCCTCGGAGCCAGCAAGCTTGGAGCCCCAGTGGAAATCGAGAGGAGGTCGAGTGGAGCGCACGAGTGCACTCGCTGCTCACCAGGACGGGCTTGCTCTCTCGTAGAGTTTGGCTAGTAGCCAGTGGTGCTCGCAACCCCGCACGGAACGTCGGCCATGGCGCCGCGACTTCCGGTCGAGAGTGGCGCCGCACACCACTCGCACGCTGACAGCGAAGGAGCGCTTTCCGCCTCGGCGGGAGGCGATGGCGATAAGGCGGAACAGTCGCCGCCGTCGCCACCGACGAAAGGGGTCGACGGCGACGCAGTGGCGCTGTCGTCGGCGTTTGTAGCGAGCGGAGACGAGGGCAAGAGTGACGGCGACGTGGCGGCGGTGTTATCGCGGCATTCTTTGGCGGACTGGTTGGCGGTGGTGCTGTGGATGGGGTGGCTGCACATCCTGCTCGCGCTGCTGCTGCTCATCGCGCTCACCTTCCCACATCCCCTCGCCATCGCGCTGCTGCTGCTCCTCGCCACGCTCGCCGCCACGCCCGTCGACGTCGAGGGGCCCCTCGCCCAGGCCTACCGAAGGTCCGCCTTCCCCCCGCTCGCTCTCCGTTTCGATTTGGGTTTCGCTGTCTGTTTTGCGAAACATTTATTGATTTCGCCTAGTTCTGCTAGCTTCTTTCTCCCCGCCAAGGCAGATAGAAGGTCGAAGACAGGTCACGTCAACTGCTCGTCAATTTGGTCGAAACTGATTACGGCTCGCCTGGAGGCATGCCGCCCAGGGGCTGCTCGCGCGTCACGTCTGCCTGTTCCCACGCTACCTGCTCACTCGCCATCCAAGCTTCGCCTCCCCTCCGCCTCGCTGCGCCCCCCCCACGCGCTCACATCTGCCGGCCCATATCTGCCCGCCTGAACTGCAATCTTCGCTATTTCGCTCTTTTCCCTCGCTGCGTGCTGCTTGCGTGTGTGCCTTGCCTCGGGCCCCGTCCCTCGCGCCCCCCCCTCCCCCCCCCCCATGCAGGTGGATCTACCCGGTGGTGCTGCGCCACTTCCCCGTGCGCGTGCTCTTCCATGATCAGAGCACCCTCACCTTCGGCAAGCCCTATGGTGCGCGCGACCTACGGGAGACGGGATGGGGCGTGTTGGCGGGTGCACGGGTGGTGGCTGGGTGGGTGCCCGGTGGTGGGAGGGAATTCATGGGCATGCGCTTGGCTCTCTAGCTTACGCGCATGTGCGTGTGTTGAGGCGATTGTTTCATGTGCTTATGCGAGTCTAGAAAAGGAAGCAGGGATGGAAGGCTGGAGCAGGAATGGAGAAAAGAGATGCAGGGAGAGGGAAAGAGTATTGCAGCCAAGGGTGTCCGGTCAGTGCGCCCCGCTCTCACATCCCACTCCTTTGCTACTCCCCCGCCTCCTCTTCCTTTTCCCATCCCTCCCCTTTTCCCCTCCCCCACTTTCCTTCCCTTCCCCTCCTCCCCCCTTCCCCTTCCCCCCCTTCTTCCCTTTTTCCCCTCCCCCCCCTTCCCCCCCTCCTCCCCCTTTCCCCTTTTCCCCCCCCCCCTCCCCCTCCCCCCTTCCCCTCCCCCCCTTCCCCTCCCCCCTTCCCCTCCCCCCGTTCTCCCCCCCTCAGTGATAGCAGTGGAGCCACACTCGGTGCTGCCGGTGGGGCTGGGCGCGTTCATGTGCCATCCGCTGGCGGCGGGGGGAGTGGCGGGCGCCACGAGCGCCATCTTCCGCGTGCCGCTGCTGCGCCAGTGCTGGCAGTGGGCGCGCCTTGCCCCCGCCACCCGGCCCGTGCTCTCCGCCGTGTTGCAGCGCGGCCGCCCCGTGATCCTCGTGCCGGGCGGCGTGCAAGAGTGCCTCTTCATGGCGCCCGGCAAGGAGGTGCGCGCCTTCCGCCCATGTGTTGCTGGGATTGGCATGTGGGGGGATGGGGTGTGGCGGGATGAGTGTGGCGGGGTGGGGTGTGGTGGAATAGGGTGTTGCGGGATGGGATGTGGCGGAATGGGTTGTGTGGAGGGAAGGGGTGTGTGAATGCGCGTGCTCGGGGGAAAGTGCATGTGGGGTGCGATACTCGTTCGTCCTGCTGTGTCATGCAAAATCCCCCATCCCCCCAATTCCGCTCCTCCCTTCCCCCTACTCCAATGGTCCAACCCTTTCCTGCACCCCTCGCTCTTTGTCCTTCTCACCTTCCTCACCCCTTCCCTTCCCTCGTACTGTCATGACCCCTTCCCAATATCTTCCGCATGTGTGTATCGCCACACTCTTCACCTCCTCTCCAATCTTTCTTC